CAGGAACCAGATACAGTCCACACTGGTATCCCTGGAATGTTTAAGAATATTTGAATCTGCAAGTTAAATCCAAAACGACTGGGTAGAACAACTTTCACATGCAACTCAGTTTTACTGAAAGCCTACTGGTTCAATAGCGACCAACAGCACACGTGGTTTGCAGCAAGATGCCTCTGCGTCGCCACAGTGCGTTCTCCTCCAGAGAGAGCACCTTCGTTAGCTGCTGGGAATGAAAGCCGCGCCCAGCACGCTTATCACATCGACTGAAAAACAACAAACCACACAAAACCCACGCCTGCAGCCAATGCAAACAGTACTTGCACGAGCTGACTGACTCAAGAGAAACAGGACTGGAAAAGGTAAGAGGCAACGACAGTAAGCGCGTTAGGTACTACAGAGAAAAAAGCACTTGTGTTTTTTGGACCATAAAAGGAGAAAAAACTACACGAGAACCCAGAAAGGCAAACTTTGGATCCGTTGAAAGCTGTTTTCAGATTAACGTATCCAGTTTTGCTCAGCATCAGTCCTATGGAAGCAGTTCAAAGGCCACTAATGAAAGAGGTTAGAAGGGGCGGATGCTACGGGGAAGATAAATTGCAGCAGTAGGTTGGTTCTGCAGCAGGATCGCTAGAACATGGACAGATCAAAGAAGACTTGAGAGAACAGGCCACAGAGCAGGCTCCCAAGAATTCAAATAAAAATACACACCCCAAAATGAAGAGAGCCGCACAGGACAGAAGGAAAACAAGTACAAAGGACTAAAAAGACAGCACAGGACATGCTGCAGATGCTTACATGTGACACTAAACCAGACAACACTCTGCAGAGGTATCAACCTGTCTGTGCCATTCGGAGATTCCTATGTATGGTCAGAAATATGGGACAAGAAAATTGGTCTCATCGCTTCCAGTATTTGAGAGCCCGAGGAGGGAACAAGTTTCCATGTAAAAGACTGGCACGCTGTTTCAACAAAGGGTGACAGGCAGAAAGATAATGTTCTAGGATTTCCTCTGGATTACACTGATCCTAGTTTGATGACTGAAGTTTAACTGCATGTGTAATCACCTGCACATCAACAGCATTTTGAAATAACGGACAGATTACATTCAGGAACAGCATACATTTTCACTCCCAAGAATTCTGTAGGGCCATACTCTCCCACAAAGATCCAACCAAGGGGAAGTCATTTATAGCTAACGATATCCAATATAACTTCATATTAAACTTGGACCTTATGTATCCTACAAAGAAATTTTAGATTATCAAGTCATTTTCCAACTGTTCCAACAAATTTTGCTTTCGGAGAAGAATTCAAACCTGCTCTGAGGTGATCATTATTTAACAGGCACGCACTTCATCCTGCCTTCAGGGACAGGTATGAGCAGAACTCGCACCTCATATGTGCCAATCTTCCTCTTAATCAGAGAGTCGTGGGATAATGAGTGTCTAAAGGTAACAATTGCTCTTCACAGAGTCTGGCATTAATGCAGCGCCTTGGTCAAAAAAGCCCGGGATTCCTCAAGGACTGGTCACACTGAAGTCACGATTAAAACACAGTGCCACCTCTGAGACAGAACTGAGAGGCTCTTCGTGAAGAACAAAGCCACAGAACGAAGGGAAGAGACAAGAAAATGGGTCATTCCCCATTTCACTTAAAATTCTTGAAAGTTCACATGGATTTTGTTTGTCTGTTTTAAATCAGACGGCAGAATGGTCACTGGTGAGAAGAACAGGCATTCTCTCGTTCAGCCGTGACGGCAGCAGAAGCTTGGTTAACCAAGCCTGCAACACAAGTAAAACTACACGATGCACAAGGAGCTGGTGTTGCGGCACGGCCTGGACTCCTCAGGACACAGAGAGGGAAAGA